AGTTCAAATAAACGGTAGCCCTAGTGGAGTGAAATTCCGTTTAATTCATTCAGAATAGTTATTTCAACCTCCTAATTTCAACTTTGCAGTGACTGGTACAAACGTTTTCCCTTTACATTTCGAACAAGCAGCTGAGGCAAACAGCCTATAGTTTGCAAATACATATACATGTCATTAAAACGGTTTTTTTCATGGTACGCTGTCTGAACACTTGTTTTCTCAAATATTAATTTTTTCTTGAAAATAGTTGCGTGCTGTCAAGACATTAAAGTGTAAAGGTATTTTACAACCTCGTCATTCAGCGGATAAAATAAGATAAATATCCGCCATGTCTGATGATTTTTCTGGAGACACTACTTATTGAGAAATATCGGATATCACCACTTCCAGTTAATGTTCTGTAACAGTAAAACAGATTCAGCAGATTCCGAACAACTTTTTGCTTAACTTATTCCCATAATCTTTTTTGTAACCTTTTTTAATTCTAGATTTGTGTTTATTACTCCACAGAACTAACCAACTGGAGGTCTTTGCTTTCTATTAATTATAGGGGATACAAGCACAACAATGTTTCCACGATCCACACAAGGTTTTGCACACCTCGGAGTTTCTGTTGACCACCACTCAGACCATACCCACCAAAAGTTAGGTATCCTTGATAACGCGTTGGAAGCCCGGTCAATAATTTTGAGTCATGGCTCCCAAGGAAATAATTTGTTTTCCTTTTGGAATGATGGGCTTCGTGTCCGCAGTCAAATTCCTTCCTTTGCTCGTGTCCACGTGCGTAATTCGGAACCAATTTACGATGCATGTGATAATTGTGATTGTCCTATTCTAAACTCCGTTCATTCTGAATGTAAGATTAAGAAAACTTATACGGAAAACAGTCATAACGGGCATCACGGTGCGATCAACTTGTCGTCGAGAGAAAACGGTATTGAGGAAGACAGTACTGAACTTACAGACGGTTCACCGATTCTTCTAGGTTCTTCAGACCCGGCCACTGCATATTTGCGCCGAAAGCACATGGGGACAACAAGTTATGCGGAAAGCTTATCGGTTGCTACAGATTCAAAACAACGTGACGATTCTACAACTACAGCCTCACCTCAACAACCTTTAAAAAATATCTCTCCTCTCCGGTCAGATTTCATTTACATGGACTCAAAAGAGGTACTGAATCATTCTGACGGACCGGGTTATGCTCCTAACCAAGAAATGTGTCTTCATGAAGTTTCAAGTGCACCTTCAAGTAATGTCCCTCCAGCTAGTCCTAGTGCAGCTGTCATTGTCACCAACACTGATCGAATCCCTCTAGGACTGCAAACACCTTCAGAAATCTCCATGTCTAAGCTGCGTTTGCTAGATTTGGTATCTACTGATGAAAACAATTTGGGACCTGATTATGCGAACGTCAATCTTTTGGGATCGAATGTGCAACGTCTGATAAATGAAGGTACCAGTACGGCAAACAAAGACAAGCTTGAAGATAATTCCAGGACAAACCACGTTTCCCCGGGAGATTTTCACCTACATACTTCACCGAGGAAAATTGATTTTCGCTTGCGATCAAGTGGTCGTCGTTCTAAAAGCTTTGACGATAGTTTCTGCGTCAACAGTCTGGATCGCATTAAAAGTAATAAGTTATACAACTCCGACATTGTTAGAAGGTTAGTGATTTTCATCTTTTAATATACAATTTGATCATCTTAAAGCAATTGGATCTGTGTGGTATGAAGTAAACTATCGATTTTTGAGTTCTTACTCCCTTTGAATAATCGACCATTATTTTTAAGCCACATACAACAAGTCTGGTTCATTGCTTTGAGTTGTCAAATTTCACCACATAGGTCTCTTTTAAACTATGCGTTGTTAGGTATCAGGTGGCGTTATTGTCCTTCACCAGGTTTGGTTTATTTCCTTATCCATGGATATGCATAGGTAATGTTCAATTTCATTCATTTTGACTGCCTAGAACATATTATTATTATTGTTCTAGTTCGCTGGTTTATGCATTCATTTCAGATGTTGGTTATATCATGTGAGTATGAAGTCATTTGAAGAACTATGATAAAAGTATGCATGCTACCTAGGTTATTGTGTAGTTTATAGTTGGTTAGTCAAAAAATAGTCGAAGGCAAGAATTGCGATAGCGTTGATCTTACAATGAATTCAAATAGGCTACCAGATGACTACATAAAGATCTATCACAAACCATTTACAATATACTCTTCACATACTGCTTTGGTTTTATACTCACGCTTTTTTTATTCGACGTAATCATTTTTGATTCACATCCAATCTATAAATATCTTTTCAGTTCAGCTTTTCCCGTATTTAGGTGTTCCGACCTAGTTTTATGTATTTCATTAGTGTACTTTTCGGACATGTAGACATAATTACAATGATGAATGCGGTGTGTAACTGTAGTTCCGTTTATCGACAAAATCATGATCTGTCATTGAGTTGATGCATTTGGTTTCACTCCAGTGATATGTAGTATTGGTCTCATACAGCAAGCTGCATTCCCAGAAACAGAGGTACATACCTTGTTTTTAATGTTTTATAACGACTTTACTTGCCAATGTTCACATTTAGCTTCTCGAGACATTATTTTGCGTCTGGTTAAGTTTTCCGTTTACTTAATTGTTAAAATGTGATTTTATTGTTATCATTACTCTTAGGTCACGCGCACCTCTAACTGTGGAAGATGTTATCAGTACTGCATCACCCAAGGGCTTCAAATTCCCCAGTGACTTTACCAGCGAAGTTGAATGTAACCGGAATTCCAGAACATCATCCCTTTTATCTGATCGTCTTGAAGCCCGTATACGCGCCAGCATGGTGAGGCCTATTTTTGATACATTGGATTTTTTCAGCACTTGATCTTGATGTGTCATTCAATATGCATGTTAGACCGACTTTAGAACTACTAAACATATTCTGCAGACCATTATCTTCATGCGTCTGAAGAGTACACTGAACATTTAAACGTGTAGCCAAATTCTCTTAGCCTTAAAATTGACGCCTTATTGTGCCAACCATACTTTGTTTTCTGTCATAGTGATTATTTTAAGAATTAGTGAGTGCATATTTCTGTGATTTGTAACTACGCGGATTTAAGGAATCATAGTAAAATCTTAAAAAGTCATATGAATGTAACCTTAGATGTTCCTCACTTTGCTACAGCATAGAAAGAGGAGGTGAATAAAATGAAAGGATAAACATTAGTATTAGTGGTAATTGAGCTGTCACTGAGTTGGTCAGATTTATCAACAGCTACCTTTGTTCTGCATTGAAGATCAAATGGCAAAAAAGTATTAGCAACAAGAAACTATGGAAACAAACTAAGCGAGGACCTACCACTCAACAGATATGTAGGAGAAAATGGAGATGGAACCAGCACACATTGAGAAGACCGTTGATTGACATCGCACGCCAAACCATCGCTCGAGTGGAGTCCGGATGGGAAACGACGAGTGCATTGTCCCAGGGCGACAACGAGGAGATAGAGCGAGGAGGAGATGAGAGATTATAGTCAATTGTGGACCCAACTGAAGAGGACCACAGAAAATAGAACAAAATGGAGATATGTTGTCGAAGCCATATGTTCCATTCGGAACCCAAGGGAACAGTAAGACGGTTATTTAGACAAGTGAGCGTAAAACCGTTCACAGAATAGCATCATTTCAAGTTACTGCTACCTAAAAGATTCACAACCGCATGAGGCAGGGACACAAGTAGTTGTTGAGTAACGTTTCACCTTTTTATTTGTGCACTAAAGGAAAGTATAATTCCATAATATGATGATTTTAGTTTGATATAAAACGGATACAGTATTATTTATGCACTGTCCCGAAGACTATGAGGAGTGAGCACATCTACCCCATGAGTGATTTTCAGTTTTCTTCACTGAAAACTTACAACTGTTGATTTTTAGTATCTCAAGGAGAACAGTAGAAATCTTATATGGCTAGAAACAGTAGTCATGAATTTCTGGGATTTGCGTCATGTTTTGACCCCTATTAACTCATCTCCAACTTGTTTATAAAGGAAGGCTGTTCCCTTGACATTCGTTACATGTTTTAGCCACTGTAGATAGTAAAGACGTATTACCATATCAGTTAACTTATATTTTATTTGGCATTATATCTCTGATCTCATAACAAATTATGTTCTACTGTAGTCGAGCACATATTTCTGTCCCTTTTCACGTCTTTACTTTTGATGACTAAGAAGAAATCCGCTTATTGTCGTCCTAAGGCCCTGTAGTACTGGCCGAGTATGCAAGTTTTTCGTTTAGTTATCAGTCGGTTAAAAGCTAAACCATAATGAAATAACTATGAGTGTAGGTTTATGTCGTAAGTGCTCATTCTAGTGTTTCTTTGAATTCTGTTCGACATCTTGCAGAATACTAGGCTGCGTTTAATATACAATCTATACAATAAAAACGCTCTTGGATACTTTATTGCTCTCTGGCTTTTCCGCTTCAGAAATGTGTGGTAATTTTCTCAAGGGTTGATATTATTTTGGTACCCAAAAACTATGTAGACTGTTTTTAGGAAATTACTCAGTGTTCCTTGTTAGATTTCATACAGTAATCAATGAAATATTTTTGGTTGTTTATCAATAACTGTAATTAAGTAAAGTTTTTACGTTATCTTTTCATTCAACATCCCAAAACCCTTGTATGTTACTGCTCTGAATTGCAGGAATTTTAACGTCTATATGCAACATTCCTTAATATGATTCACTCTGAATACTATGTTTTACTCTTATGGGGAGAGCGTTCTAGCATAAGTTGTGAATCTCTTGTCATTTGAAAATAAGGGAATTCTTGTTTTCTACAAGGCAATACTGGAGCATCCGATAAATATTTTGTAAAAGACCAGCTTTCCCAATAAGGCCAACTCGTTTTTTATAATTAGCCTCTTGAATTTTTGTTTATAAACGGATGTGGTATGGCAAATAAAGATTTATTTTATTTCTCACTTTTTCAGGAAGCCATTAGGTCTACGTTGGTAAATAGTTTTCGTGATGAATTGGCAACTGTACTTGCAGAAAATGTTAATCTGCGTTCAGAAATAACTCGATTGAATTCCGAATTGACACTTCTTCGAAGCTATCAGCATGCCTTTTTCGCTATTCGACCTTTCGTCCCACCTAGTTTGTGGGAAAATATTTGTGTTCAGCAAGGTTTACCTGTATCACCCCTCATGAATGGTGCTGATTGTCAGCCATCTTGTGATCCACAAAATTCTCGGTAAAACGCTAACAAACAGGTTATGTCATTGTTTTGCGTTACTACCGGTTAATCAGTCGGTGAGATTTTTCAAACACTCATCGATCAACGTGTGCAATAGTTCCTCCTGAGACTTCGTTCTCAAAATTCTTATCTCGTCAGTACTGGCAACATGTAGTAATTCACCTACTTTGTCTTTTCCCCCTTTGCAAGATTCTTCACACTTTTACCGTTCTTATTTTCACGGCTTGTTTATTTTCGTTTCCTGTCGTTTCACTGAACATGAGAGATTTGTGTATGTATTTGATTGTTTAACAAAATAACTACTAATAGCCCTGTAACCTTGGGTTCCTCTTGCTGTATGTATGTTCACCAGGCTCTTTCATTCCCACCATACAGTCGGTTGGTGTCATCTCTTAAGTTCAGGCTGTTTGGACGAGAATTATTCACTCACCAAAGGTTTTCTTAGGCCTATTAACGATGTATGTTTGAACTGTGATTACAGGAAGCTTTTTGTGATGTTTCCATGTCTGTACAGAAAATTAGCTTGTATAAATTTATGTAAAGTATCTTTTTTTTCTCATTGTAACATCTAGTTGTATTTCTTCTTGTTCACTCACTTACTAGAAAATGTTAGAATAATATGCAATCTTTATTCATAATATAATTTCTTTGACAAAACCAAATACACAAGGTTTCTTATTCCACACTTATTGGCATTGTCTTCTGTTAACAAACTTTTATATGAACCTTTTTGTTTGTCTCTCTTTGTTATTTTTCATTCCTGGTGATGTCAATTTTTCAATCATTTTGATTAGATATATATATTTTCATCTCAATTCGTTTGTGAATTGCGTTGGTACATCGGTCTCTATGAAATATTACATACATTCCTCAAATGATTGGACTCATAACTTAACTCTCTAAAATTTGGTTGTTATCTGTCTAAACAGTTATGCATTTATGCCTATAAAAGGATGTTATCACTGTTGAATTTTTCAAACCGTTTGCTGGTATTTCACTTTTATTGTTAAAAAAAGAAAGAGTGGTCAGTTCTCTTGCTTTAGCTTCATGTTTTATGTTATTTTTGGTATCAGTCAAACTTTATGTATTCTACCATTTGTAGGTCATCTTCTGTAGAAATTGATTATTGATTGATATCATGCACTAGTCCTTTCCTTTTTTTTTATCACTAAAATTCGTTGTAAATAACTTTTGCATTGTCTGTGATTACACTGTACATGCGCACAAAATTGTAAACTGTAGTGTCAACATGGTAAACCTTCAGTTCACCTTCAGCCTTTGTAAGCCTTTTTCTTTAGCAGCATATTTATGTTTAGTCAACGTTTTCAACTCGTTGACTCCAAAAAATATCTATTTCTACCGGTTGTGCTACCGACACATGATTCACATATGTCTGTTAACAGTAGCCAACCCGTTTTGAACTCCTGAACAGAAAACAAGTTCCTACAAATGGACGCAGGCAGGTTGCAGTATTATGAAGATTTAGCATAATTCGGTACTGAGCTCTTCCGCATCAAACTGCAAGTTAAAATAGGTACCTAACTATGTACCTCAGAGAGTTAAACCTGCATAAGCTATGTAAGCTTAGAATTGAGTTATGGATGAAGACAATACTGTACTGGTGTTCACTGAATTTATGATTTTCATAGCTGCACAATAGTTAATTTGACAAATGCACTGATACCTGTTCAGGTTAACTGTCAACAAGTAGATGAAAGTAACCAGTCGCAAATATGTAAGATTATGACTAGGAAGGACTGCGATTGACTTTCTCCAGAAAGTAATACAATCAAGTAACAATGTATTCATTTCATTACTGGGCCAGTATAATCTCTTATTGGCTTGGTATCTACGTAATGCCACAACCCATCCGATGTCAGTGTGATGATACCACTTATGGTGTTAGACTAGCTGGTAATTACCAACTGACAGTTGCACCAAAAATGTAGAACAAATACGAGACGGTATATAGATGAATAAAGCACAAATGAAAAGGATGCTTTTATAAGCTACGTAGTGAATAAGCTTAGTGGTAATTTCAGTCCACTGGGGACATGTGATGTGAGTTAAATCATCTCTAGATTATATTCGCCTGTTGGAATTTTGTCTCTGGTACCCTTGATTTAGATTTAACATATGGTTCGATTAAGAGAACAATTCTAAGCCTAAAATATAATCGTGTTACAAGATTTTATGTTTCTCTTGTAAGGACTAGGGAAGTACAGTTGGATTAATTTGCGGAGATTTAGTGAGTAGTCCAGTGTATTACAGTTCTCATGCACTACTCTGGATTCTACGATTTTGTTTCTGACTAAACCAATTTAATGGTTACCCTTCAAATCCATATTCGGAAAGTGTGTGTCTTCCTGTTGATGCCTTCTGATCACACTTTCCTCATTGCTTGTCGTTTAAAATAGTTTCCCTTCATATCTGTAAATAAGTGGTAATCGCTCACTGTGCACTGCACTGTCGAATAAATTTATCTAACGCGGAATTATACTGTGCTGGGATTCTTCTTTCACATTTAGTGATATCATGTACTGTGCGAACGGGCTGCACTGCTGTAAAGCAAAAATGACTTGCTTTTTTTCCTAGTCAAGATGAACATTTAATGGTAAGTGATTACATTTTTAGTGATGCAATGTAACTTTGAGCAAACATAGTGTGTTACGAGTAGATTGATATGTCAAGCAATCTCTATTTCAAATGCTGGACAGCAAAAACTCACTTAAATTCTATGTGGTTCTGGTCTGGTGATATTGCGTCACCTATACGGTGAATAGCCTTATTTAAATGAAATCATGATTCACGGATGCAAGCCGTAATGACAAATGAACTCCAGGATCACTTATCCTTTGAATGACATCCAGATTCAGCACTTTGCATGTTATACAGTGCCTTACAAATTATTTCTTTTTTTAATTATAATTTCTACGTTCCCAGTAGAACATAGCACTTCAAGCTAGAGGCTTGAAGTTTCATTAGCAGTGGTGTTTATTTTTACGGGATGGGTTTGCTAGCCTCATGCTCAACCTTCCCCCTTTACAAGTCTTATAACTGGCTTAGCGAGGTAAGGGAGTGCATTGGCTGAGGATTGAACCCCGAACCACATGTGTGGTCGGCGAGCATTCTACCACTGCCACTGACGCACTTGACAAATTGGTAGTGATCTTCATTTGAAATTATAATCCCGAATCCTAGTGGCGAAATGATGTGCCAACTATTTGTTTGAAGTTGTGTAGATGATAAAATCCATTGAGGATTAGATGAGTTTCCCTGCTCATCTATGTTAATATTTATACCTATTGACACCGATATATCTAAGAAAAATAAGTGACATATAAGCTAAATGATAGCTTCTATTTCATACTTGTTATATTTTATGTTATTTCATGACATATAGTTACTAAGGTTTTTTTCACTACATTATCTGCTAACGACTTCAATGAACGAACTCTCTGAAACCTATGGAGCAGCAAAGACTATTAAACGAAGGCTGTCCAAGAATGTCCAAATAAAACTGAAAGATTACATTTATTCCTACGTGTAATTTTCTTCTTTTCTTTGGTTCACCTTAACTGAATTGAACTGAACTTAAGGTTTCCTGAATTACTACCTGGATATACCCGTGAGTTTCACTTCAGTGTTATTTGTTTGGTAGTGGTTGACAATCGAATAATTATTATTTTTATTTTGATTATAGCTTGACACCACACAGTATTTTTGGTACAGGTATGGAATTTTCAGCATATGATATCGGTAGCCCAAATTTTGCAGACCGACCATAGATATCAGGTGTGCGTCGACAGGGGATCGAACCCCGGACCATGTGCATGGTCGGCGAGAGTCCTAATTGCTGTGCCACCGACACACACATAACATGCGTTTCATCTACATAAAATTTAGTAATGTGAGACCATCGAAATTCGACAGTTCATATGTTGAAGGAAGGTAAGCCTCGTTGCATGAATCATTACAGGTAGCTATCGCAACTGGAATACCCATGTTGGGCTGGCTATCATCTGCTGCATTTTTAGGGGGGGGGGAGTCATGGAACGGCACTAGGATTCCTTGCGTCGTAACAACAGTTGTTAGAAGAATGCGTTGTCAATTTTAAAGACTGAAACCAGCCGAGTGAGTTGACTAAGCATTTGCCTGAGCTTACGATAACCAAGAAGTGCATTCCTTAACACTTCTTCAGCTTTCTGTAACATGATTGATAAGAGGTAGCTTCAAAACGATCGTATACCTTAGATACTGGGTCATCCAAGATGTTTGAAACATCCTCGATAATATCTTCAAGCAAACTTACAATAACTACCTTCGGCCTAATTTCTTATGAGTGGATCTTCGTAAGTTGAGTTAACCTGTGAAGAAGGTGGCGAACTGACAAGTTACTGCCATCTACTTATGAGAGTCGTTATTCTCAGCTGTTGATGAGACATAGGATGTAGTAGAGCATAATTACAAAACACTATTATGAAGATATCAAGAGATGAATGAAAGTAAACAACTGGAGAGATTAATCTCAAAAAAAAAGGATTAAGTACTAGATACAGCAGTAGAATAATACTCAGGCAGAGCACTATTAAAGGACTGGATGTGTTGTTAGTATGCAATGTTGACCACTCCCACTGAAACTTACATACACTCTTATCCACTTAATAGGTAGCTTGCCTAATTAACAATAAAACACAAATCAAATTCCAATTTATTTAGGAGTACAGTTGTAGCAGTAATGTATTTAGGCAGGCTAAAGGGATTTTAGTGAAAAGTCTAATCAACTTATCTAGCTAATAATGGCTAGGCTAAGAACTTTGTTAGCATGCTTGTTAATCAGCGCAAAATAACATCGTACCTTGCCTAGTTATATGCTTGTCAAAACAAAATTTATACTGCCTTAGGGTATTCGAAGTCAGCCTAAGAGTTTATTTAGTAATCTGAATTTGATCTACTTACCTTAGCCGAGGTTTTATTTCCGAGTGAATAACTGACTGAATCTATTTGTCTACATAATGTACATTTAGTTTTAAATAAATATTTTGAACAAGTTACATGTACAAGAAACTAGTAAGTGAAATCTGTCTGCTGGTATAAAAACGTTGCATTTTTTGAAATGTTAAACCATGAGCTTAGATTTGCTGTAATACAGTCAACAAACTAAAAAAAAAACAAATAAGAAATTCACTAAAACCAAATGTTTATATAAACTTTTTTAATACTCTTTTAGCATATAAGATACAAAAATATAGTGAATGGCAATGTAGCTGTAAATAAGTGTTAATGTATTCGACAGAACAGGATTTAGACGAAATATACAACATTTTTACAGTGTATTTAATCAGAGTCCCATGGCTGAATGTGAAACAAGCTTACACAAGCATGGATATGTACAGCTTTTTACGATCAAAATAGCTATCAGTTGCAAGCTTACTGATTAAGCATTCTAAAGTGTTTTTTCCCCTATTCATGTGATAATTTGAGACAACACCTCATGGTACATAGCATAACTTGCAAATTTATACAAGGTGAATGGAAACAATTTGTGAAATAAAATATTGAGTATTAGAGGCATATCAATGAACCAAGTTTATTTACTATTGTGTTGTTACTATGGTTAACAAATACATTTTTCTCATTTTAATAATATTAATCTAATATGTATACCTGATCAATGAGATTTCAGCGTTTACTTTGATTATAAAGTATCACATATAGCATAAGCATTTCTTCAGGTTAATCTCAATTACTGTTTAACTAATTTATTACAGTGTGTATATGCGTAACGTATTTCTAAATAGATCAATATTGTACCTAGTAGTTGGCTACTTGTAACAACCATTTTCAATAAGTATGAAGAAAAGCATCTCGTCAGCCTGCTGTCTATGCTTAATTGACAAGGTCATAGGATATTGTTACTTCACGTCTATCAAACCATAACCCACACACAACTAAGCCATCTATATCTGTTCTTAAAGTTCACCAGACATTTGTCCATCAGAAATGAAGCAAGCTACCAATTAAGTGGAATGACTGAGTAAGTTAGTCTGGGAAGATTCTTTTTGTTGTTGTCACGCATGACAAGTATTTTCCAAAGGATATTCAGCAAACTATATTTTATCGATTATCTTAACAATAGATGAAAGGTGTTTATTATGCAGTGTTATTCAAGTAGAAAATTCCTGGGTTGAAAAACTCTGTCTGATCAGCGACTAGTAGAAAAATTTCTCGAGAGAGGTTTACATTAAGGACTAGCAGAAATAACCGCCTTAGACACTGCAAACGAATATCATTTGTTATAAGTGTTAGCTGTCAGTAAGTTCTCATAAATCTGTAAAAGTTAGTTGTAATATGAAGTTGCCAACGTTAGTGTGCTTTCTTGGTAAACGCATTGGCGGTAATGCGTAAATCACAAGACTTCGAAACCTTGACTTGTTTTTTGATAGCGGAACAAAATTGCTGTTCAGCGGGTAATCTGTAATTTTCAAGCCTTGTTCAGCTTGTTTCAAACCTTAAGTGAAATAGAATCAAGCCAGTGATAGGAAAATGGGAAGCTACTTTTAAAAATTCATTTTAAAACCGTCAGACCGGAGGTATCTTTACATAATTGCATTTGAAGCTGCATTTTAGCCCATGCAAATACATACTCTCAGTTGAGTTCCTAATTGCTTTTTATCTGATTGACAAAATAGGATACCTTGCTGGAATATTGAAATACACTGAAATATTTTTGTTTTTTAATCATGTATGCTTGAATAGCTTAGAGACATTTCTTACTAATATCATCAGACTTTTGACCTAGTCGTACTATGCCTTACTGACCAGAATGTCTTGTCTTCTAGTATTAGTTGAAATTTGATAGATCCGATTTACCACAAAGTTGTCTATAGGAGATACAATAAAAAGACTAAAGCTTAAAGAATGTAACAAGCCTACTGATAGTTACCTTTAAGTGCGCGAATTGTAGAGATATCTTAGATTTTAAGGTAGGAAAGCAGAAAAGCTGTTATAAACTAAGGGGAACTTGGTAGAAGCTTTTTTTAAATTTTTGATCATTGAACGCTTGTTGTCTCTAAAATAATCAAACTCTTTTTGGACGACCAGGTTTCAAGACAAGTACGTTACCATTCATTTGATGGAATGGGGTCCCATAGTTGGCATTATGAAATTCTTGTCAACCCTATGTTAAGTGAAAGCGCTTCCTAATATAATCGGAGAGTAATTGTCGTAGCGCCTGACCTAACGAATCCCACCGTTCAGTTTTAATTAAACATTGGGTAATTCCATCTTGAAATGAATCAATAAGAGATTGAGGATTCGTATGAGGTTTTTGGGTTTGTTAGAATTTTATTATAAGTTGCAAACGTTACATTTGGTAATATGATGACATTAACTCTATGATGGCAACAAACACTGGCGAGATGAGGGCACTGAACGTCCACTTTTCTGTTTGATACGTATTTTCAAGTATTGGTTTTGTAGGGATTTTGTTTGATTGCATGGAGGATTTCATCATGAGCTGATATCAGCAGAGAACCACTGGAAAACCTGGGAGTACTGGACAGCTATTTCGTTCTAGTTTGGGACTCTTCATCAGTACGCACGCATCGGGGTTCGAACTCAGTACCTTCTGGTTACAAGGCGAGCTCGTAGGCCATTGAGCCACTGGGACCCGATCCAATGGTCCTTGAATTCTAACTTCTGCCAATTCACGACACAGCGCGACCATTCCCAGTGGCTCAGTGGTCTACGAGCTCGCCTTGTAACCAGAAGGTCCTGGGTTTGA